AGAGGCAGAGGCGGAAATAAAAATGATCAAGAATGGAAAAGATTTCGACCAAGAAACGCAGGAAGGGGGGTCAATAGACAAAGGGGGTCTAGGCTCCCCGATCCCACAGACACCCCTTTCTGCCTTCTCTGCACAATATATAGAAAAGCAAGAGGAGTTAATTAGGAAACTAGAAGACCATGCGAAACAGCTAGAGAAGAGCACTAAAGAAGTTGAAAGTCTGAGAGAAGAACTGAAAGAAGTAGGAAACAAATTAGAAAAGGGCACCTACGCAAGCGTAACGGCGGGTACGGCCCAAAGATCACCTATGAGTGTAAGGGCAACACACTCGGTAATTATCAGGTCAGAAGATGAAAGAGATACTGGAGAGCAAGTATTGGACAAGATAAGAAAAGCCATAAAGGCAAAAGATGAAGGGATTAGGGTAGATAGCGTAAGAAAGGCCAAGGATAGGAAAGTTATTATGGGGTGCAGCACGGAAGGGGAATTGGAAAAGGTTAAAGATAGGCTTCGAAGTGTAGGCGGCGGTTTGCAAGTGGAGGATATTAAAAACAAAGACCCTCTAGTTAAGTTGTTGAATGTACTTACCTCCATCGAAGACGACGACGTCATAAAGGCTATAAAAAGCCAAAATAAGGCCCTGCTTGACAATCTGTCAAAGGAGGACATCAGGATGGAGGTACGGTACAGGAAGAGGGCCAGGAACCCGCTAACATCCCACATTATCTTGAAGGTTTCGCCTAAACTGTGGCAGAGGCTGACGGAGGCAGGAACAGTACATGTGGACTTGCAGCGTGTCCAGGCGGTCGACCAATCTCCTCTCGTCCAGTGCTCACGGTGCCTGGGGTACGGGCACCCGAAGAGGCTATGCACCGAACAAACGGATGTGTGTAGCCACTGTGGTGGTCCGCACCTCAGGTCCGAGTGCACTGGTTGGCAGGCTGGGGATCCACCATCCTGTCGGAACTGCCTCAAGGCCAAAGCCGACAGGAGGGACCACAATTCGTTTAGCGACGACTGCCCGGTGAGAAGAAGGTGGGAGGCGCTCGCGCGGGCCACCGTGGCTTATTGCTAAGGTGGTCCCAGGTGCCTCCGGCATTCTTCATGCCCGGCAGCGCTGTTATCACGCCGTGCAAGCAAATTTGCAGAGATCCGGTGTCTGCACGGCAGAGCTAATCACAGAGGCGAAGGAAAGGAAACTCTCCTTCGCCTTGGTCCAGGAGCCGTATACTGGCAATACTGGGGAGATGAGGCAGCATCCAGGTACGAGGGTAGTACAATGCGCTGCCAACCGAGGGGTGGAGGACGTGGTTAAGGCAGCCATTGTACTATTCGACGACACCTTGTCTATCACCCACTGTCCGGATCTCACTACTTGCAACATTGCTGTTGCAAAAGTGAGGACCGTGGCATGGGAGGTAGGCGTGGTGTCTGTCTACCTGGAGCCAAATAAGCCCGTCAAACCTTACCTGGACTCGATTGGCTCTATCGTGGAGAAACTGGGTACTGCCGGCGTGATACTTGGCGGCGACGTGAACGCGTGGTCCTCATGGTGGGGAAGTCGAGCCACAAACAAGCGGGGGGAGGAAGTCGCAGCCAAACTGGACGAGCTGGGTCTGCATGTGCTCAACTCTGGGTCTGAGCCTACTTTTGATACCATTCGTGGAGGAAAAAGGTACACCAGCTGCGTGGATATCACTGCGTGCACGGCCGCAATACTCGGGAGGGTGGGGAACTGGCGTCTCGCAGACGATATATCTAGTTCGGACCACAGGGCAATTCTGTTCGACGTAAGACTCCAGAGATCCCCAGGCATGGACATTTGTCGCTCCACCCGGAAGTACAACACGAAGAAAGCTAATTGGGGCGAGTTTCGAGAGAAACTCGCCTCAAAATGGAAAGAAAGGAGGATTACGGTAGAAGAGGTAAATAAGGTGACTGGAAAGGAAGAGCTTGAGAGAAAGGTGAATAGCTACATGGAAACCGTGATAGAAGCCTGTAATGATACCATGCCGGTGGTCTCTAGGAGGGGTAGGTCAGGATTGCCCTGGTGGTCCGAAAAGCTCTCTCGTCTCAAAACGGTAGTTTTGAGGCAGAAGAGAAGGATAGCCTGCGCGGCGCCGGTTCGCAGAGATTGGGTCGTGCAACAGTATATCCACGCCAAGGAGAACTACCTGCTCGAGGTGAAAAGGGCTCGGACTCAGAGTTGGAAAGACTTCTGCTGCCGCCAGGAACGAGAAACCATGTGGGATGGGATATACAGGGTGATAGGCCGTACCGCTGTGAGACATGAAGACCTCCCCCTCTTGAAAGACGGTAAAGTCTTGACTGGGGAGGAATCTGCCAGGCTCCTGTCTGAGACCTTTTACCCCGAAGACCGGGAAGGGGAGGATGACGCGGACCACATGGAAATAAGAAAAATGGCAAATAGTGTGAATGAGGGGTCGCATAATGACATATGCGATCCCCCATTTAAAATGCACGAACTCATGTGGTCTGCGTCAAGCTTTAATCCCAAAAAGGCGCCTGGCCCCGATGGTCTCACAGCGGACATTTGTCTTGCCGCCATCACCCTGGATCCAGCGGTGTTCCTGTCCATTGCAAACCGTTGCCTGGCCCTTGCGTGCTTCCCCAGGAGATGGAAAGAGGCAGCGGTTGCAGTGCTTAGGAAACCCAATAAGGACGACTACACGCACCCCAAAGCATTCAGACCTATCGGCCTCTTGCCGGTAATGGGCAAGATAGTCGAAAAAATGCTGGTGAGGCGGGTCCGATGGCACACTGCACCTACGATCAGCCGGCACCAATACGGCTTCATGCCGCAGCGTAGTACCGAGGACTCCCTCTATGTCATGATCCAGTACATTCGGGCTGAAGTCGAAAGACGGAAGCTTGTTGTGCTGGTATCATTAGACATAGAGGGAGCCTTCGATAACGCCTGGTGGCCGGCGATCAGGTGCAGGCTCGCCGAAACTCGGTGTCCCCTAAACTTGCGGCGCCTTTTCGATCATTATTTAAGTGATCGAAAAGTGCGCGTCAGGTACGCGGGCGCCGAGTGGACCCGCGAGCCCACCAAAGGGTGCGTGCAGGGATCCATTGGGGGACCTACGCTCTGGAACCTGCTGCTGAATCCGCTCCTGGTGGAACTGGAGGAGATGGGCGTCCGATGCCAGGCGTTCGCCGACGATGTGGTCCTGATGTTCTCGGGGGAGGGAGCCACCGACGTGCAAGGTGCAGCCAATGGTGCTCTCGAGCATGTTCGGAAGTGGGGTGCTCGTAATAAACTCAACTTCGCGCCACATAAGACCTCGGCAATGGTAATTACCAGAAAGACGAAGCACGACACACCACGACTGAGCATGGGCGGGAGACCCATTAAGCTCACCAGGCAAATGAAGATCCTGGGGTTGACAGTTGACGATAGGCTCAGTTTTAAAGCGCATGTTGCGACAGTTTGTCGAAAAGCGCAAAGCCTTTATCGTCAACTGTCAACCGCAGCGAGGACTACGTGGGGACTAAACCCCGAGGTCATCAGGACCATATATGTTGCGGTAGCGGAGCCCATCATCCTATACGCGGCCAGTGTGTGGGCCCCGGCGGCGCGGAGGAAGGGCATCCAAAATCTATTAAGGCAAGTGCAGCGCGGGTTTGCGCAGAAGATTGCAAAAAGCTATAGGACCGTCTCTCTGCACTCGGCGCTAATACTTGCTGGGTTGCTTCCTCTAGACCTTCGTGTCAACGAAGCGGCCCTTTTTTATGAGGTAAAAAAGGGTCACACCCAGCAGGTATTAGGAGACCTTGTACTAGAGAGACAGGTAAAAATCGAAAACTCTGCGCACCCCGCGCTGCAGGAGGGCCTGCAGTTCGACTGCCTGGCCGACGGTGACGAAGCTGACCAGCGAGCTGCCGTTGATGTAAACATTTACACCGACGGCAGCAAAATTGACGGCAAGGTCGGCGCGGCGCTATCAGTATGGAATAGCGCCGCGGAGATTTCTTGCCGGAAATTAAAGCTGGGAAACTTCTGCACCGTTTACCAGGCGGAACTGCTGGCCCTGAGCGAGGCCGTGAAGTATGTTGTGAAGAGCAATGAAAGGACCTTTGGTCTTTATTCCGACTCAAGATCCGCTCTCGAGACACTTAAGAGTGGCGTTTCCCTCCATCCTCTCGCTGAGAAAATAAGGGAAGGAGTGAAAGAAGCCAGAGAGCAAGGGAAAGTTTTGAAAGTTTACTGGGTGAAAGCACACGCGGGGATGGAGGGCAATGAAAGAGCGGACCAATTAGCAAAGGCAGCCGCAGTCGGAATGAAGACCAAACCAAACTATGAAAGGTGCCCTGTTTCATATGTCAAGCGACAGATTCGTCTGGATACGCTTGACAGATGGAACAGGCGCTATGTGGAAGGAGTCACGGCCTCTACAACGAAGCTCTTCTTCCCCGACGCCGTGAGCGCCTACCCTACACTGAGAAGGATTGAGTTGGATCCCGTTTTGGTTCAGGTGTTAACTGGGCACGGGGGGTTCTCCGAATATTTGAATCGGTTCAAGTGCAAGGAGAACCCCTCCTGCATCTGCGACTCAGCACGGGGTGAATCCGTGCTGCACATCATTACGGAATGCCCAGTTTTTGAGGCCCGTAGAGTACAAATCGAATGCAAGTTGAAAATGAAAATTGATAAAGAAAATTTAGTAGATTTAATTAGCAATAAGGAAAAGAGAGAGATTTTTATAGAGTTTTGTAAATCCGTGGCCAAAATAGTTATAAATAGAAATAAAACGTAGTTTGTAGTATTTTAACTTAGTATTAGAAACTTTGTGATATTAGAGTAATATAAATGTGATATTAGCTTGTAAGTAATATTGTGAATTTTATATATTGTTTTTATAAACGTACCCAAAATCCCTGATCAAACATGTCAGGGGTACAAGAGGGCGGCGTGTGGCCGCCCATAAAAAAAAAAAAAAAAAAAAAAAAAAAAAAAAAAAAAAAAAAAAAAGTAAACGAGTTGCTTTTCTAACATAAAAAAAAAAACAAAAATGTCTTTCTACGGAAAAGTTTTCGCTGTTGAGAGCCAAGAAAATTACGAAGAATTCGTCAAGTCTATGGGTATGTAGTTTTTAACAAAGATTCTTTTCCGAATTCACTTAACTATGTCTTTGGCGTTATTTTACCGTTGCATCATCTCCCCTGTCTTATCCTACTCCCGTAGGGTCGGCGCACTGGGTTTTGGTCGTTCAAATAACTCTATCATCCGTCATCTTCATCACTCTCTTCTTGATCATGTCACCTTTCACGCAATCCATGCATCTCTTTCTAGGTATACCTCTACCGGTGTACCCCTCCACATTCATAACTAACGTCTTGTTACATGCGATTCATCCCTTCCCATAACATGCCCATACTACGCTAACCTTTTACTCCTTATTCTCTTAACCACTTTTTATTTTTAATAATTACAATTCATCGACATTGAAAAATAATTAGCTAAGAGTAAGGTCAACAAACCTTAAACAATATCCATTAAGTTAATATCAAGTATTGACATTGAAAATATTATTTGTAAGTAGACATATAGCGTAGTTTATTCGTACTTTTGGCAAAAAAAAGTAAACTAGTGGCCGTTTCACATTTACTTTTAACCATTCGTTAGTGTTTTTGGTTCGATAACTTCACGAAATGAGTTTCCTAACTACGTAACATGAATTTTACGCCTTTGAAATTTACTTTAACCTAACACTAATGAACCACTAAGTAATGATAAAATAAATGGAAAATTCAGAAAAACAGCATTCTTCGAGCGCTGCGTTTATTAATCTGTGAAAACTTTATCATTTGCAATGGCGATTTGTTTAATGTTCGTAAGAAAGGGTTCCTATTACGATTGGGTTGTTCGAGATCCCGATATTTCAGTACAGTTACGTCATTTATGACCCTACGAGCTTTCGCCCGCAACTCCGCCCGTGCGAAATTAAAAAAACAAATGTATGTAGTCTATGTGTTCTTCCAGACTATTCTCTAAATATATGCCAAATTTTATCGAAATTCATTCAGCCGTTTAGGCTACAAACTCTAACAAACATCCATCCATCCATTCGTCCATCTATCTAAACATTCGCATTTGTAATATTAGTATGAAGTATAATGTAATGATTAATATCATATGTGGTCCAACGACACATTTATGGTAAGGAACTGTTGTCTTAAGACCATTGTATTTGTAAAAAAGACTGGGGTTTTAACGTTACTTTGTGTGTTGATTTTTCTAAAGCCATTGAAGTGGCTTTCCATTAAAATGTCATCGTATTGTTCTTTGTTTATGGCAATGTTGTCCTTGTCTTTAAACATATACCAATCATAATAGTAAACAAAGGACATTAAGAGTGCGCGAACGCCTTTGACTAAACTATCGCACAACTGTTTAGTCTCCCCTTGATTCCTATGAGCTTATATGGAGGTGCGCAGACTACTCGATTTTTAGTTTTGCAATTTAACAGTTCATTGGGCTGTCAAAACAATCTACAATCGCACAGTTGTGGGATAGTTTAGTAAACTGTGTTAGCCCGCTCAAATTATACTTGTAGTATTCTGCGATGGAACTAACGTATTTTAACAATATTCCTCGGCTTCAGGTCTTCCAGAAGAAAAGTCGAAGAGCCTATTGGAATACAAGCCAAGCCAGAAGATTGAAAAGAACGGTGATGAGTACACTATAACCATTTACACGAAGAATGGAGACAAAGTTTACAAAGCCAAATCTGGTGTTGAATTCGCTGACAGTTTTAGAGACCTACCCGTGAGTACACAAACACACACCCGCCACTAAGAGCGGGCTCACACCTTTGACTAAACTATTGCAAAACAGTTGTGCGATTGTTTTGCAGCCAATTCAACTGTTTAACAACTAAAAATCGAGTAGTATGCGCACCTTCATACGAGCATATGCTCGTAGGAATCAAAGCGAGACTAAGCAGTTGTGCGATATTTTAGTTTCCAGTGTGCGCACGCTTTTGGATTATTAGCATGGCTTTTTATTTCTAAATTAAAAAGGAACAAAAATTTATGTCACAGTAGTTAAAACCCAGTTACAATTATCGAAATATAATACGTCAATCTTACTTAATATTGTAAATGCAATATTATGGATGGATGTTACTACAATTTTTCAGAGCGGCTCATAAAATCGTCTAATAATCAGGCAGGATTCTAATTTAGTTTTTTTTTTAATTTGTTAATGACTGTCCTAGATATCGCCACCCAACGTTCTACCTTATCTTAACATTGATATATTTTCGAACAGATAAGCTTTTTAGGCCGAAAAAGATAGTACGCTCTATAATGTATGATAGCACGCTCTATTTTTTAGTACTATACTAAAGGTGTGTCTAAAACAGACTTCATTAAAAGTACAAACTACATTATACCTGAAACAAGGTTCGCTTCCTACTTTAATGTAAGACATACAATTTAGCTTGTATGTCTTACTAGCTGTTTCAGTGCGGCTTCATCTGCATGAAATGTCAAAATTCAAATGCACAAATGATAATTGTTTCCTTCATGTTGGCAGCAACTTATGGTCTCTTTTCCACATTAGGATTTTTATCCAAAATATTTACCCCCTAAGTTCAATGGCGTGAAAATATATAGCCTAAAGCGTGACGTAAGTGTAGGGCTTTTTATTACAAAAATAGTTATTCGAAAATATGCTGTGATTGCTGACATCTTAGGCAAAAAAAGAAGTGTGTGTTTATGCTTTATTATATTAGTATAGATAGATAGAAAAATTGTCATAGTCAAGTAAATATATTGGGCTCGGTGACATAGATAAGGGCATAATAAGCATACAAACAGTGAACACTTTATTGACAATAACAGGGTGGCGCTAGTGATGATAATTCATAATTTAGTTTGAATTATACTCACCGGGCCGGATTACGATATCGGTCTATAATTTCCAATCAAATAGGCGGGAAATGAACGTCTTTGATTGACTACACATGAGCTGTTGTAAAAAATCTTTTATTTAAAATTCCAGGTCAAAATCACATTCACGATTGACGGCAATAAAGTGACGCAAATCATCAAGTTTGACATCGGCTTCACTCTTACCATCAATAAGGAATACTTTGATGATGAGCTCAAAGAGGTAAAATTATTAAATAAAAAAAATATACAAACACATACAAATAAAAAACATATATCAAGATGTAGTCAGCGACTTCCGCATGGTCGAATAAAACTGTAATACATACTTTGTATTTTTATGTAGCTTAAATTTAGAGTCATACCAAAGAGTATTCTATTTTAAGATTTTCACAGATTGGTACACGTTAAGTTACAATTTCATCATTTGAGTACAATAAAATGTAATATTAATAATGGTTTTATCTATTCCAGGAAATTTCCCACAGCCTGTGGGATGGTGTTGCCCGTAAAGTCTACAAGCCCTTATAAAACCATGTAGATTATTATAAATTTTTGTAATTAATGAAACAAATATGTAAAATAAAAGTATTTTTGTTACTTTACAGTTTAGTGTTATTTTTTTAATAAATGGTAAAAATGAACAAAGCATTTTAATTTTTACCAATCCCTTGCAGTACGCACAAGGAACGATAATCCAGACTTTTTCGATCGAACTCGCGGTAAATCAACTACCAAAGGATGGAATCCAGTCATATGTCTGAACATCCGATGATAAAATGGTGATGGTGGAATTATATCGTGCAGTTCCTGTGCACACCCTCCAATATGTAGCCTGTAAAACACCGAGAGCCTAACCACTTTACGTTTGGAATTCTAATCATAATCATCCTGTTATGATACCACTATATTTGGGTCCCTTACAAAAAATTATGTAAATAGAAAAAATACCTTGTTATGGATAAAGTTACTAAGCCGCCAATTAGACACTCCATTCCGCCGAAATTAGCGAAGTAACCGCGGCTTCTTGAACTAAATGCAGTTAAAAAGTTGCAATTGCATTGCCTACCCAAGGATATTGATATTGATTGAGGACAATTGATAATTTTTATTTCCATGCATCTTCTACACTGTTTAGGTGATCTCCCGTCTTCCTAGTCAACAGGAAAACAACTGACAGTGGTAGAGCCCGCTTCAACATCTTCGCACTGTAGGGCCGCTTTGACCGGTATAATACACGACCACACAGAAAACAGGCGTGAAGTGGAAGCTATTCCGCGTTTCGTCTGATGAATGTGGTGCCGGAGGCCTATTTTAAGTCCCTTTTTTCTACGATTTTCTTACACGGAAAAAAAGGGCAGTAAAAGTGGAAATTACGGTAAAGCAAACGCATAAGAAGGGGAAATATCCTTCTATGCGCGTCTCCTTCTCTGTTGATAAAGGGTGGGCAACGCATCTGCAATTGCAGATGTATATGGGCAGCGATCGCTCCGTTTTCTTAGCCGATTTGTGTGGTCGCTCGTTTGCCACCTTATGCTATAAAAAAACTGAACCTGATAAGACATCAGACATACTGATCGGAAGAAACGCGGAATTACTTCCACTTAGCGTCTTCGAGCTATATTGTCGATCGAAGTTTGTCTCTATTTTGTGTGGTCGTCAATTCCAGGCGATGAAATTCTACAACTGCTGATGTTTTTATACGGTCACTGTTAAATCCTACTATCTTATCTTTAAAATATGAGACCATACTCAATATCAAAATGGACTTCGAACTTTGTATTGTCAAGACAAAATTAAACATAGCTACTATTACTTTTCTTTGCCTTTTTTAATAGCTTGTCTCAGGTACTCCATCAATGTAATAAGGAGAAATAAAAAAAACAGTCGAAATCAACTCTAGAACTGTTGTCTGTTGGTATTTGTATTTTGTCTTCGCTACGTGTGGCAATTGTTTCTATTATTTTTGACCGACTTCCCAAAAGAAGGAGGTACTCAATTCGTCTGTATGTTTTTTTTAATCTATGAACCATTACTACCCAAAAATTATGACTCAATGTTATCACGATAATTTTGTATTCCATTTTAACTAATCAATGGATTATTCTAGTCATCTTATAATGAAACATACTGTAAAAACTAAAAAACATAGTCATCGCGTATTTTTGAGCAACTTGATAAGCCGTCAATTATCGTTTTTAACGTTATCTTTGCATTTTAAATATTTTTACTATTATTTTTTTTTATAACATAAGGTAGCCAAAGAGCAGGCGGCCACATGAATCTGCCAAAATGGTAAAGCGACCGCTGCTCATAGACATCCGCAATTGCAGATGCGTTGCCTACCCTTATCCGGCGGAGGATGAGATGCACATAAAGAGGATATTTCCCCTTCCTAAGCATCTCCTCCACCGTCAAATCCACTTCCCGTTCCCATCCTCTCCTTATAAGAAAAGGGTGGTAAAAAGAAAAGGACTTAAATTAGGCCTCCGGCACCACACATGATTGCTCCCACTTCATGCCTGTCTTCTGTGTGGTCGTGGTATTACACCGGGCGTGCCGGCCCATTCGTGCTAAGATGTTAAAGCGGGCACTACCACTGTAAATATTAAATTGTACATTTAAAGTAATTAGTCCTTAAATTACATATGGATGCACAACATAGCTTGTAGGATAGTTTTGCAAAGGGTTGGAAACTGGGAGAGGTATGAGAAAAAAGAAGCGCACATCTTTGACTAAACTATCGCACAACTGTTGTGCGATTATAGATTAATTCGCAGCCAATTCAACTGTTTAGTTGCACCACTAAAAATCAAACATGTGCACACCTCCATATAAGCTCTTAAGAATCAGAGCGCGACTAGACAGTTGTGCGATAGTTTACATACCCTTAACAAATTACGCCGAATTATAAAACGAAATATAAAATCGAACTGTTGAATTGTGCTTATAGAAGTACGTGTATGGAAGCACTTAACCTAACCAAATAATAAACATTGTTATTAATCATTATCTGTATAAAAGTGCTATACTTGGATTAAATTGGTTTTCGACCAGTGACTCAGAATTCTAAACGATAGTCATCACACGAGCTAGACAAAATGACGAACGTCGTGCCTGAAAATGATGAAAGGCTTCCTAGAGTTGTACTGAACTTTATCTATACTATCTATACTTTTATAATAAAGCGTAAACACACACTTCTTTGTTGCCTAAGATGTCAGCAATTTTCGCAACAGCATATTTTCGAATAACTCTTTCTTTAATATAAAGCCCTACACTTACGTCACGCTTTAGGCTATATATTTTCACGGCTATAAACTTAGGCGTTAATATTTTGGATAAAAACCCTAATGTGGGAAAGAGACTATGTATGACATTGACAAGTCATTGCAGAAACCTACTATAGTATACTTTTGGAGGTCAATACGCGGTAACAGTGGTAGAGCCCGCTTTAACATTTTCGCACGAATGGGCCGGCTCGCCCAGACAACCACACAGAAGACAGGCGTGAAGTGGGAGCAGAATTCATGTTTGGTTGTTTTGTTAGTTGTTGTTTTGATGAGTGTGGTGCCGGAGGCAGAGCTTTAGTCCCTATTCCTTCTTAAAAAAAGATGGGAAGGGAACGTGGATTTGACGGTGGTGGAGACGCATAGGCAGGGGAAACATCCTATTTATGTGTGTCTACTCCGTAGGCAATGCATCCGCTATTGCGAATGTTTATGGGAAGCGGTCGCTTCGCCATTTTGACGGATTCAGGTGGCCGCTTGCTCGTTTGCCACTTTATCATATAAAAAAAACGTTCTCGGTAGTAACACAGTTTTAGCAATATAAACTCAGACCACTTAATTCACTTGATAAAACGTAATCAAGATACGTACAGTGAACTTCGTATTGTTAGAGCAAAGAAGATATTTCAAAAGGTACATATTGATAACACCGATTAAAGTTTAGGGTACGCACACAATGATACAATTTTCCTTCTAAAAAATGTTTAAAATTATTAATACCCTCTATAAGACGGTCAATGAAAAAATCTAAAAGAAGATGGTATAGTTATTTGTGTTTAGCAAACGTTATTAAAAAAAATTCAAAAAAGTAGTACAAAAGTAACGAAATAATTCCTTGAAAATAGTAAACCTCCCTTATTGTAGCTATTATGTCTATGTTGTACAATTATTATTACTTTGATGTCGGTGTCAGTCGAAGTATGCAGTGATATTTATACGTAAAGCTTTTTACATTTTTACCATAACAATTGACAATTCAAAGTATAGTAACCATTAAGTAATGAATTTTGACTGACACCGACTTCTTTTGGGAAGTCGGTTTATTACTCGACCAAATAAAGGGCTGTTACCTGCACAGCTAGAAATGTCTTTCAACAGTTTTGAATATTTTTACTGTAATAAAATACTAGCTTTCGTCTGCCAAGTCAGTCCGCGTGGAATTAAAAAAATAAAGTAACTTTTGTGTTCTTTCAGATTTCACAGATGTGGATGATATCTGAAGGAAAATATGGTGATATAACCTTAATATATCTGCGAAAAAATTTAAAGATTTGTGAAGTCAATCCGCAGTGAGCCAATATTTGGCTTGTTCCGTTTACCTAACCAGTTAGGTAACAATTTTTTTCCGTTTTCGTAGCTAGTCAAGTTTTAATGCCTGGGTGGGTATACTTTGTTGGTTTCATGCCATCAATCCCATGTTAAAACAATCATGTATCGATTTCAATACCAAATAATTAGCGCAATTTCATATCGATGTAATTGACATTTTACGTTTGGTCGCGGTTTTTTTGTTTTAAACTCCGGAATTCATCTAGCCAGTTCCACAAATTTTATATTTTTTTTCCTAAAAAATTAAAACGGAAAATAAATTCTTGTTCCCTAACTGGTTAGGTAAATTTAGTTAGGTAAGCGGAACAAGCCGCATTATTGACTATGGCCCAGTTACTACTTAGGATCCAAGCTCCTCTGTCGGGATATACTCGTATAGAGATGGCAATTAATGCTTGATTTTTAGTACAGTATGAACATAACCGCAATAAAGATAAATCGCGTGGATTTATAATTCGCGCTACCATTTTGCTATCTATGATCAAATTGGATATATAGGACAGTAATCGACAATTTTCTTTAATCGTTGTTCAAATTCGGTTCTGAGTTCATACTCGCAACAAAATGGCATTCGAAGGCAAACTGTACGTGCACGAAAGAGATGACAATTTCGATGGTTTCATTGCTTCTTTGGGTATGTATAATTAATACTGTGTTTCTGAAGTTTCTGCTTATTTTATTACCTAGCGATTAATTAGTCTTAGATTGATCTGTTTCAACGGAGTAACTCTTAAGTAACGTAGTTCGGAAACGCATTTCATGAATTAATCGAAATGAAACCGGCCATAAGTTTCACCATAAAAACCTAGACAGGATTTAAAATAGATTTAAGCTTAAATATTCGTCAAATTTATAATTATTACGTGACAGGTCCCAGTTTTTTAAGTATCCTTGACTAAAAACCTATTCATTGAACTGTCGTAATTTGTAACTAAACGTCTCAGAAATTTTTTGTCCGAAATTTAAAAGACTACAAATATAACGCGAAATTACATTATTTAATAGGAAATGTATTAATGAAATAAGAAATATGTATATTTGCTACGGCTTTTATATTAGGTTTACACATTTAGAGTAATCTTTAGTCGACTTTTATCTTTATTATTGATTCTTTTTCTCAAAAACTACTAATTCCCGGCCGGGTTCCCAGCTTCTTTTAACAATTCATTAGTGTTTTAGGTTTGATAACTTCATCAACTACGTTTCCAAACTACGTATCTTGAGTTTTATTCCGTTAAAACTTAGTTAAAGTTAACATTACTAGGTAATCATACTAATATTATCATACTTCATACTAATATTATAAATGCGAAAGTTTCAATGGATAGATGGATGGATGTTTGTTTGAGTTTGTAGTTTAAACGACTACACGGATCTGGATGAAGTTTGGCACATATGTAGAGCATAGTCTGGAAGAACACATAGGCTACTTACTTTTGTTTTTTTTAATACCACGCGGACGGAATCGCGGGCGAAATTAGTGATTAAATAAACTGAAATTGTAGCATGCCAGCGTACACCATTTACAAATCAAATGCTTTACATTTGCACTTATTTTAATTTTCGATTTATTTTTGTTCATGGGCAACAGGTTTTTTTTCTATATTTTATTAAAAAGTAATCGTATATATATTACAAGGTTGAATGAATGTTAAGGCGAAGGACACGTGGAATTAATTTATGCAGATAAGTAAAAATTTATGGTAACAAATTATATCTATAACTAAATGACAATGAGTCACACACGAAGCAATTACAATGTCTTTAGATAAAAAAATACTAATTTATTGATTGATATGATTACGACGAATAATATGAAAGCTGATAACTATATTATAACATTACTAAAGAAATATAAAACATCTCACCATATTATGTGTAATAAATGTAGCATTGTATAAAACATTCTAAATTACAGAATTCTAAAATTAAAAAAAAGCAAAATAGCCTATATGTTCTTTCAGATTATGATCTACATGTATCTACATGTATATCCCTTCAGTTTAGGTTACAAACTCTAACAAACATCCATCTATCTAAATTTTCGCATTACTAATAGTAAGAAGTAAGATAGGTGAACTAATCATAGGTATTTCAAGCTGATAAAATATGCAAGGCCTAGAGAAGGCAGCAGCCAATATTGTATTACTTTAAATAATTCTTAATAACCATTTTACATTTTTCATTCTGGGCCTCCCGCGGTGACGTCCTTGTAACTAATTCCTTAGCATATTTGAAGGTGAAGTGGTAAAGTGAAAAAAGCGATTGATGCGCCCCCTATAATAAATTTTGTATTTTTCTAGTGCCTTTCCTTTGACAGATTAATTTCTCTAACTCACTCGTTCAATAAAAAGTTTTAACGCAAAATAAATTACGATTAAATAATTTTTAACGATACTACGAATATAAGAGTGAAACATTTATAATTTCAGGCTTGCCTGAGGACAAGGTGGAAAGACTGAAGAACTACAAGCCCAATCACAAGCTGGAGAAGAACGGGGACACTTACACGATGTCTTCATTGTCTGAAAGTCGCAACCATATCATCACGTTCAAGTTGGGCGAGGAGTTTGACGAGACGGTCGTTGAAGGACGCACTGTAAGCCGTTTATTAATTTTGTAATCTATTATCAACATAAACAATCTGCATTTATTTGGCTAAATGTCATGAATTTATAAAAAAAAACTCTTTACATTAATTTCGTTGGTTGTTTGAATCACGGCAACTGGTGACTTCTCAAAATATTAACGTTTATGGTGTCACATAGTAATTGCAACTTATTGATATCTCAACAACTCGAGCTAATTAAAAGATAAAGCGGTTGACATATCATGATTACACGTAATAGAACTTATTACAAATTAGTGTACATTTCCAGGCAAAGACCACCTTCACACTTGACGGCAACACCCTTACGCAAGTCCAGAAATTTGCAGAAGGCACCATAACTACAAAGAGGGAGTACTCCAGCGACAAACTAGTCGTGGTAAGCTATACAGATATCTTTTTTCTTAAGAGCTAAAACAAATAGTAACTATTTCTTTTAAAATGGTTAAGAAAATTGTTATTAAGTGTTAACAGTTTTCTATTTTTACATTATATTATTTCAGAAGCGCCTGAAACATAAATAGGAGCAATTAGACATGTTTAAATATTTTTCAGAACTTTGCTTTTATAAAAAGCTTTTTATCGTTATTTCCTAATTAAATACTCACGATTTACAAAAAAAAAAAATATTTTTATTTCAGACTATTAACAGAAGTAACTGGGACGGTACTGCAACCAGATATTACAAAGTTTAATGCCAAATTGAATACATAATTTAATGTAACGATTATTTTTTATAACAATTTTTAATAAATTTTTCAAAATAATGCAAAACAACTTTTTTTTTCTGTCTCCTTATATATATTAGTGTTTCTTTTTTTTATAATTTGTGTTATTCTATCTTAAGTATAAAATTATGAAAACAAGCACACAACGGAATGGACACTAGCCATTTTCATCTAAATAGTGATGTTTTCATATACCGAGTGTTTCGGAGTGAAGTAATTATCTCTAAATAGGGAAGTACCTAAGTTTTAATTGAATGCAACCCTATAGTACTCGTACTTTCTAGTGCACAGCGACATATCACCACAAATTGCATTTACCTGTACAGATTACTGCAATTGTAAGCAGAGCGTGAACCTCGGACACTAAAACCGGTCCTACTCTGACGTAATCGATGCTTAGCTTGCGACAGTCGGAATTAGCGCCTAGTGATGTCAAACTATCGATGTTAAATCGATATCTGGTCACATTCGTCGATTGTCAGTCCCGCGCGTGTCTGAGTTTTAATTATACTCTTCCTTCCTAATCCTTATAGTACTGGGAGGATATTATGAAGTGGATTAAGCAAGGGAAGGGATGCACGGGAGTCGTTTTCCGTGATTATCCTGCTGAAACTCCTGTATATAGTATCCATGTTTTATAAAGACAATGAGTTGATAACATTTATGTTTTTGTATGTGTTTCGTCAATAAAAACTGAATTTATCAACATTTGGTTGTTAATATTGCGTTTAGGAGAAAGTAGTAACAGTAATAAAAAGTATATTGCAATTAAACTAAAAAAATGGCTTTGCATGTATTAATATCGATGTTAATATTTGCATTGGTACAGCAAAGCGTGTGGGGCTATGAAAACTAGTTTAAAAGCGATTGTAACAAACCGAAACATAGATACATTTTTTTATTTAACAATAACAAATTCACGTAACGTTCATCAAATGTTATTTGTTTGCCTTCTAAACATCGATTAAATAATAGGCATAGGTAGGGGAAATGTCTTTTTTTAGGCGCGTCCACTCCTCTGTCGATTACAGGTAGATAATGCACCTGCGAAGACCTCTTTATGGGTAACACACACCTCGTTATTTTTGGAAAATTTATATAGCTGCATGCGCATTTTCAACCTTTTTTTTTTAAAGTATTTTTTTTTGACACTAAGAGACAATGGTAAGACCGGAGTATATGCCGTAAACGACAGTAGCATTAAAATATTTTTTACCCACGCATAAAAATATTTCTTTTAATAAAACACTGCTGTCTCTTGCTGATTTCATGGCCCGACGGAGAAAGGGAAATGTTCGCTAACCGCTAGTTATGCGGTGTTGATTATTATTATTGCATATTCTAGTTTAATCTTATGGTGTCTTATGTAAGAGATACAAATTAATGTTATAAAGATATTATTTCAAAAAAAAAAAATGGTTCTATTTCTGTGCGTTCCCTCATCTGTAGATTAAGGGTTGCCTACCTTTAAAATAATTTGCCGAATTCAGGTTGCCTAATGCTTTTATCTTATCTATAGTTGTTATAAAGAGGATAAATTTGGATTTTTGTCTGTATTGAAATAACTCCAAAAACAACTGGCCCGATTTTAATAATTCTTTCACCATTAAAAAGCTACGTTACCAGCGGGTAACCTAGGCTACATTTTCTTATTATCTCTCACTAACACTAGTAAATAAAGCTTTTTTTACTAAAGAAAATATGAGATTTTCTCTAAATTATATTTTATTATTGTTATTATTTAATTTTACACGGGCGAAGTCGTGAGCAACAGCTAGCAATAAATAAAAAAGCAAGGAGTGACTTCTGAGAAAACAGAAGATTTATCTGGACGTTGAAAACCTAGTGCGGAGACTCCACGGAAGTAGGAAAACGGCGAGAAGATGAACAAAGAACAGCTATCCCTGAAGTCGTCCAGGTCCCAATCCGGTAATAATAACGAAGTAACGGCTCGTGCCGAGGCTCCTGAGGGAGCTTAGTAACTCATAAACAAGGTTTAGGCTAAGCGCCATCAGCACTTAGCCACCTCAAGCCCGGTATATTTGTGAATGCCTCTTCAAGGCAAACAGTGGCCATTTAGTCACAAACAAAAAATAGTCGTCCAGGTCTTTTAAAGTAAATAGAAACTCTACTGAAATGTAAAATGGTAAAAAAAGTTGTCTCATTAGTTGAAGAATAAACATCAGGGAGTTCACCAAGACTAGTCTTTTGGAAGAGGTCTACGAGACAAAAGTTTGCTAATCTTTGTTATAAGCACATAATATGGATGTAATAAAAGCTAGTAGCTTAATACAACATAAATATGTGTACTGTTAATTAAAAAGATGTTAAACGAAATATTAGTAATCCAAAATTCTTACATAAGTTACCTCTTTGCCGTTAAAACAAACAATTTCAACACTCGTAATATCAATTATTTTGCAGCTTACAAAATGTCTTAAAGGTCATCTAAGACAAATGTCAATTTAAAAGAATTTTTAGGTAAAAGATAAAAGTATCGTCACCCTAAGCGTTGGTTATTAATCATAAAGCAATTGACTCGATCTTGGCACACTTTTCTCGCATGAACTACTATGTCTGGGATTCGACTAGACAGAACTTTTAAGTTTGACACTTCTGTTTGTCCTCTCCTCCTGATAAGTCTGTAATCCCATCATATAGGGTTCATTTTTATATTAGTCATAAGATGTCAAAAAGACAAGCTGCCACCGGATTTTCTGTGATCCTTATCGTGAATCTATTGTCCCAAATTTTTATTTAACTACTTTAAATACTAAAGTTACATTGAACTAATTATTTTTAAAGTATCCGTATTCTTTTCTTTCATCCCTTTCCTATGTTAAAGTATAGTTAATTATTCCAGGACATTGTCGTTATTGCCACAATTTTACATTCGTTTTCCTTGAAATTCAATTTCTTCTTAATCTTTTCGTGCATTGTATTTAAAAGATTTTATTACTTGATATTGTCAACATTATTAAACATTATAACATTTGTGCAATTATTGATTATAATTTATTAGTCTTACGAGATAAAATGAAGGAAAATAACCTTTTCAAAAATTATAAAATCGAGTAAAACTTGATAATATTGAATTTAAAGATAGTGAGAGGCGTCGAATGGTAGTGGAATGCACCATCGGCCAGTTAGCGCCATGTCGCCGCGAGTGGTCACCGTTCTTGCGGTACTCGCCGTCGCCTTTGCAGACGGCCAAAATGAAATCATCTATCAACTTACTGGTACGAAATAGAAGTATTCTTTTTTTTTTAAAAAAAAAAGTCTCCTAACCTGGCTGAATCGTGTTGCCGTGTGATTTAAAAAAAAATTGGTTAGGTGCAGTGTTGTCTGTGGTGCCAGTGATTTTGGCGCGCTTTTTATTGGATTTTTTTAATAGATTTAATTAACCTACATTTTTTTGCATGTTTTGGTAAGGTTTTTATTTCATTGCGTTATTGTGACGATTTGTGAATTTGTTTATTTAAGTATAATAATTAACGTTTGAACATGACTTTGAAAACATACGATTTACGAAATACACATATAGCCTGTTTTAATTACCAACAGCTAAAGAAATCTGATGCCTTATTTTTCAATATATCTTTGAATTTTATACTCTATGTTGTAAAAATGGTCACTAGTCACTTAATTTTGTAATTCAAGGAAAAACTTAATATAAACGGATAATTGTTATGTTGCCAGGCTTTATTATTTTAGACAAACCGTTTATTAACAATGTCGCCATCCTGCTTTTTACTAATATTATAAATGCGAAATTTTATACGTATGTTGTTACTAGGCATTTCCAGACAGCTCAACGGATCTTGCTAAAGCACAGATGTCGAGCATAATCTAGAAGAACACAGGCTACTAATAAAGTTTTTTTTTATTTCCGACTAATTAACAAGTCCTTCATACATGTCTCATTATACCAATAGTACAAACATATCAATAACAATGCAATACAAGAGAATGCATTCTTCGCCATTGAAGTGGCTTTCCATTAAAATTTCATCGTATTGTTATTTGTTTATGGCAATGTTGTCATTGTCTTTAAACATATACCAATCATAATAGTAAACAAAGGACATTAAGAGTGCGCGAACACCTTTGACCAAACTATCGCACAACTGTTTAGTTTCGTTTGATTCCTATGAGCTCATATGGAGGTGCACACTCGCTTTTTTAGTTGTGCAACTAAACAGTTGAATTAGCTGCGAAACAATCGACAATCGCACATAGTTGTGCGATGGTTTAGTCAGACGTGTGCGCACGCTCTTAAATTAATAAGCTTTAACGATAGATGACATGTAAAGTCCAAAAAGACAAAGGTCGAAAATGGCTATAGTCCTGAAGCCATCACTTTTTTTAAACAAAATCGAAGTCAAGTGCCTCGGAACTCAGAACTCGATAATTCAGATAGGCTGCTATTTTTTAATCATACTAATATTAAAAATGTAAAAGTTTAGATGGATGAATGGATGGATGGTTGGACGGATGGATGGATGTTTGAATTTGGCATATGTACATGTAGAGGATAGTCTGAAAGAACACCTAGGCTACTTAGTTTTTTTTATGACCACGCGGACGGAGTCGCGGGCGAAAGCTAGTCTATTCTAATATTACAAAGAAAGAAGATTTGTATTTCGTTTTTTTCAGCGTTACAAAGGTAATTTATCTGTAACATGGGCTATATTTTTTCAATACCACGCGGGTGAAGTCGCAAGCAACAGCTAGTATGCGAATAAGTTTGTGATATCACTTCATATAATTTAATTGTGTATGTTCTTAACGGAAAAACTTATACACTTGGAAATGAGTTGAATTAGAGGCGTAGTTAAGTTTGTATGTTTTTTTAATGCAATCGTTCTATATACCCAAATTTTTGACCGACTTCCCAAAAGAAGGAGGTACTCAATTCGTCTGTATGTTTTTTTTTTTTTTTATTTTTTTTTTTTTTT